GAGTGTATTCCTGGTTCTTTTTTCTTTTTCTTTTTCTTTTTCTTTTTCTTTAACAAATATCAAAAATCTTTTATTCCACAGTTCTTGGCTTAGAGCAGTTCTCAACCCTCTTAGCCTTAATAGACCTTTTACTTTTTTTTTTTTCTTCAGTGTTTAATTGTGTTGATACATATAACTTAAAAGTTACCGTCTTAGCAACTTTTGAGTGTGGAATTCAGTGGTATTAAGTGCATTCACATGGTTGTGCAACCATCACCGCCATGCATCTCCAGAATTCATCTTACAAAACCAAAACTCTGTCCCCATTAGACACTCGCTCCCCAGGCCCCTCCCCCAGCCCCTGGCCTCCACCCTTCTGCTCTCTGTCTCCATGACTTACAGCTGACTTTTCCTTGTAGAGTAAGCCGTAGCAGCTTAACTTGGACACATGCTTTAGATACAAGTCAGCAACAAATAGAGGTAAAATCACTAGTGAGCATGGACCTGGTGTGTATGTGTGTAAATCAGTAGTTTCAGTATTTATTAGGTTTTTAGGAATCCCTGTGAACATACCAAAATTGGGAGAGGTGACCCTTCCCTGGCTTATTCAGCTGTGAAACCTAGCCATCTGGTTACCTCCTAAAGTTACAAAGGCATAGGGAAAAACAGTTCAAGCTCCTAGGTATTAGCAAGGATTTTTGAGGCAGTTTCCCTGGTTCTGTAGTCTAGAGATAACTCGGATGCTCCTGAGATAAGAACTGACATTCCAAGAGAGGGCGTGTAGTCTGAACACAGGGTGGAACCACTGTTTGCCTAATCCATTCCTGGGGCACCACTCCTGTTGGCTCCATTGGAATTTCATTCCAGTCCAGCCTGATGGGATCTATGAAATTTCAAACTTAAAAAAAACAAAAAAACAAAAAAACCCAGAACAAACAACAACCATATAACCTTTCCTCAGGCTCATATATTTTTAACATTTTGCCCCATTTCCTTTATTATTTGTACTCACAATTGCTGGTTGCTTTCACTTTTCTCTCTCTGTCTACACACACACACACACACACACACACACACACACACACCGAGGGTAAATGTGTGAACCATGTGAGTGTAAGTTTTGGGCATCCTGGCCCTTTACCCTAAATTCTTTAGTGCATATTTCCTAAGAGTAGGGATATTATTTGTCCACAGCACAGTTATCAGCTTCCTGAGTTACACTGGTCCACTTCTTTACTGCCCAGATTCCAGTTTCCATCAGCCAAGGCCCTGAGGTCCTTCCTAGCAGTATTTCCCAGTCCTGTGTAGGATCAGATACTACCTTTTGATTGTCACATCTGTAGCCTCCCTTGGTCTGGAACAGTTCCACAGCCTTCCTTTGTCTTTTATGACCTTGACTTTTCTAAAACGTTCTGAAACGGGAGCATTTCCCAGTGAGCGGGGCGTGTGTCCAGAGTTGGTTCTGGTTGCAGCCGCTCGCGGGCATCCTGTTCCTGTGGAACCCCATGGAGACACCCCCGATGTTCCCTGTTTGTCCCCTGTCTCTTTAGCTCTGTTGGCGATGACCACTGTCCCCTTGGATTTGTTCAAGAAGCAGCCTTCTGGGCCACAGAGCTTTACGCTGACCAGCAGGGCCTCCTCAGGCAGCTCAGCATTGGGTTCGGTCACTGCAGAGGTATGACGTCATTCTCTATGATGCCAAGGCCCAGCTCGACCCACTTGAGAAAAGGGACATCTTCATTTATGTCTGTCAGGGTCTTGCTCTCGCTTCAACATAAAGCAAGAAGCTTGTCCAAGACCTGATGTTTCCTCCCAGGCATTTCGAGACGTGAATGGGATGCTTCCTGCCCAGGGTTGCGTTGCACTGTCTTCCTGACATAACTTTCCGTGATGCCCTTTCACGCAGGCCTAACCCAGAGAGGGCTCTTTTATTTCGTTTGGTTCTCCAGCTTTTGTTCCCATCGTTATGTGCTGAGTGGCTGGGTTTGAGCCTGGGTCTCATCATCCAGTGTCAGTTCTGGGGAAATTGGTTAATTATAAGTTACTTATGATACTAAGCGACAGCTAAAGAAGTCAGAGGTTATTGCAAAGGCAGGCAGCGTGCCATGGCGGGGTGTCCGTCTGCGCTGACTACAAAGCATGTAACCAGCCCTCTCTGCAGTTCTCTTACATCGAACCCGGTGAAGCGAAATCCTGGCAAATGCCTCCATCTGTTCCTGCTGCAAAGATAGAAAAAGACCGCACGGTGATGCCGTGCGGGACCGTGGTCACTACTGTCACTGCCGTGAAAACCAAGCCTCGCTTCGATGCAGGGAGGGCGTCCCCGCTGAGCTCCGGTGAGTTTCCTCCCCGCAGAAACTCTGAAGCCACGCCTCCCCTGTAAACGTCTTGCTGCCTCTGTAAGCTGCAGAGCGCTGCAGGCTGCAGGATGATCTCCAAGAAAGTGTCCTGGTACAGGAGGAAGGGTAATTGGCAAGGCTTCTGCGTAGCGTTTTTTTTTCAGACAATTATCTTTCTATCTTGTCAGACACATGACAAGCCAAAGCAAGGTTCAAACCTGTAGTGAATTCTGAATCTAAAATCTAGATACTAGATGAAGTATCTCGTTACATTAAGTACTCCATGACGTTTACGTGGGGACAGCACACTACCCTGAAACATTAGATGTGAGCGGCCAGCATAGAGTTTCTTATGTTAAAAATCATTCATTCGAAGGCTTGATGTGCAGTCATTTTAGATCTAGCCGGATTCTGTACCTGTCCCCATAGCCACCGCCCTGGAGACAACTTCTGTATAAGCGTATGATGTATTATTTTTTAAAATTTATAATGTGTTCCTGCCTGTACAAAAGTATTATCATCCCAGAATAAATCACTTGGCACTGTTCTTGAATGCAAAACGGAAAGTGAAATTCCGGCTTAATTAAATTTTATTTAAACCTGGGCTTCCAATGCCCCTTTTGGGCATTCCTCCCCTCCCCAAACAAAGAATCAGAGAGGTTGTTAAAAATATCTTAAGGTTTGCCTCTTACCTTTTCCAACTGCATGTAGTAGAGCTGAAGTGAGGTGTGATTTCACTTCCCGGTAACTGTAAGAGTCAGACAGCTTTCGGAGGGCTCTTGTAATCAGGATGTCTCCCGGGCAGAATCTCCCCTGAGAACACCTGTCAAGGTGAAGGTCATCGAGAAGGACATCTCCATCCAGGCCATCTCCTGCCACGGCGCCCCCGTCAGCAAGATGTTCTCTTCCTCAGATACAGGTAACGCAAGGCCACTCGAGATGGTCCCCGCTCAGCTCCTTCAGGCTCTGCCCTCGAGCCCCGCATCTGGTGAGAAGGACGCTTTTCCTTTTTAGAGTTTGGGGAGAGGTGTCTTCATAAAGGAAGTGAGGAACTAACCAGAAGGAGAGAAGGGAAATGGAAGTCGACGGAAGACCGGGTGTGCCGTTGGCATCCCTGCCTTAAGTTTTAGGGAATGCTTGAACAAAATGAGCACAAAAAGCCAGCTTATGCCTCACTGTGTAAAATCTCTGAATGTTATTTTTTCTCTTGTTCAACGTACCAGTTCCACGGATATCATAAAATAAGCAGGACTCAGGGGACATAATCATAAAGCCAACTTTATTTTGTCCCCCACTGTCCCCTGAAACCTGTTTAATAGGATTAGTTTCCCCTGGAACTCTGCATGCAGATTTCCCACTTTTATGGTCGCTTGTGTCACTGTCTCTTGGAATCAGAGCATCATCTAAATTTGGGGGTTAAATTTTCTCCCTTCGCTCACGTGTGACCTGCAGTCTAAGAAGGGCTGGGTGGGCAGCTTCTCCCCACCGCCATCCACTGAGTCCTGTTTCTGACCCTGCCAATGTCAAGGACAGGACAGGGAGGGATAGGCGGTGGGCTGGCAGCTCTCGTGTGATGGCTGCTGTCTTGGGATGGCCGTGTGTTCTCCGAACCTGGCGGAAGTGGAAAACTGCCTCTTT